TTTAATTTTTACATAAAGTTTTTTTTTTAATTTGTGCCTTGAGAAAAGAATAAAAAATAATATTTAATTTATTAACTATTTAATTAATTTTATTTATATAACAGTAACACTAAAATTAAAGTTAATTTTTATATTTTTTATATAAATTTATGATAAAAAATATATTTAACATGTGTTATTGTGCTTTAAAAGCGCATAAGTTAAAAAAACTCTTTTACATAATAAGTTACACAATAAAAAATAATTTTAGTTGGTTCACTCCTTCTAATCCTTTTAGCTTTCTTACTCCATCAACTTTATGTTAATTAAGATTGTTAATACAGTTTTGGTTTTGGGTTTTGAGTTTTATATTTTATATACATATAGTAATTATTATTATATTTAGAAATGACAATCCATCATAAAAATTTGAATTTATTAAATTTAATTTAAATATAGAACTAGTTATTAAATATTTAAAAATTAAAAATTAAAAACTAAATCATATTAAATGGAACGTAATTTCATGATTTAATATAACAAATGAATGAGGAATTTTTTTTATCTAAATAAAATATTCAACAAATACTATATTAAAAAAATCAATTCTCATATATTTTTTGGCCCACATAGTGTAACATTTGCAAGTCTTATGTTGCCGATCAAAACAAATTGTTTTAGTTTTTCAAAAGACCTCTTGATTGCTGCGTAATTTGATCCGTTAATTAATCAATTCACCTCCCTAGGAAAATTTTCTAAAAGCTACTGAGGACATTTAGAAAAAGACCAATGTACTGATGACTTGACACAGCCAATAAATGTTGACAATAATGCCGAGCTGCCTACTTGGAAAAGAATTGAGGGGCACAGCAAGAACCCACGACTTTCACGGGTGGAAAGCATCTATGTGGAATGTATGATTTTCCTGAGGATAACAAAAGTTACGCGTTTCTCTTTAATTTATATTATTTTGTTTAATTATTTAATTTTTCCTCAATCGACTTTAGTGTTAGTTAAATTACAACAATAATATCAGATATTAGAGATGAGAATTTATCCACAACACTGACAAGCAAGGAAACGTGGGAAATGTTGCTCATTTTCTTTTAATTATGGAATGAGTAGGAATAATTAAAAAACTAGGGGAGAAGGACGAAATGGTCATTCCCATCGCATTCCCAAATTTAAAAGAAAATATGTGCAAAAAAATTTTAAAAGAAAATGAGTAGCATTTTCCACCTTGCCTTGCCTGTCAGGTCAAGCATTTTCTTTTATTTTATTTATTTATTTATTTTCAATTTAGTGAGAAGGTAGTGATTTTTCGTTTGATTGTCAGAAGTGATTTCTAGAAAGCTATAAATGCATTTTTTTGTTGACGAAAATAATTTTTTTGACTTATTTTTTAAATGAGAACTAAACACAATAAAATATAAAAAATATTTTTTTTGGAAATTAATTTCTAATTAACCAAAACGAACCCTAAATCCTAACAACTATTTCTATTTACTTAGGTGCCTGTTTTCTTTCATTCACATAACTAATTTTCCATAAGCATCCGATTCCCTTGTCCTGACGAAATGCAAAGTAACTTCAGCCCCGAAAAAAATAAATAAAGGGGAAGACCACCACATTTTCTTCGAATAAGTGTGGAACACGGCCAGTGGGGTTAAGTAATGACTGCTCTGCATTTTCTATTGAATACTGGAGAAAGTAGCAGTGCCTTTCTAGAAAATGTAAAACGTGTAGACTGCACCAACAGCGTAATAGAATGCAGTCTTCCAGCTTTCCTCATTTTAGTTGAGAAAGAAAGCAAGAGGATAATTAGTCAGGAAAGCACTAGGAATAATATATGGAAAACTAATTAAGAATAAGTGGAAGACTAACTAGGGAAAATTAGAAACATGGGGGTATTAACTTAAAGATAAGTTTTTTTAGTATTATTTCATGATAGTTGATTGAAATTAGTAATTTTAAAATATTTTTTTCTTAATTTTTATAGGCCTGATTGACGTTTGAGGGGGTGTGATAGATAAAAAATGTATCAGTCATTTTTCTTATTACATTGGTATTTTCTATTTATGTACCATGAGACTACCTTTCATTATTTTTCATATGATATTATGTTTTAACTTATTCCCTATTTTTTTTATTATATTTATTATTTTAAACTATATCTGCACTCACTTTTCCTTTCTATATTAATAATTTATTTGTTATATTTTCTCTTCTTTTATGCTTCCTTCTCTATTATTCTTCCTTTATCACCTCTTTCATTATCCCCAAAATAATTATATATATATTTAAAAAAATTCAAATACCCTCTAATTTGACACATTACTAACACCTAAGCAATTCACCTATTAAAATATAATATAGATGCAACTGGTTTAAGTAGTTTCTCTGTATATAAATGGCTAAATCTTTAAGTTTTTCGTTTTTAATTATGGATCAAAAAGTATTAATTTTTTTGATAATTGTGTTGTGGAGTGTATTAATTGAAAAAATATTTGTATCCGTGTCCTTTATTTTGAGTTTGTTTTTAATTAATTATTATTTTATTTAAGTAGACAAATATTTTTTTACTTTAACACTTTAATTATTTATTCTATCATAAAATTTTATATTTTATTTTTTATTTTAAAAAATAATATAAATATAAATAAATTGGCTCTAAATTTTTAATTTAAAGAAAAAAGTGACCGCTATTTTATAACAGAGGGTAGGAATAAGTGGTAGGAATAAGTGGAAAGCTAACTAACTAAGAAAAGCTAGGAGCAACGTAAGGTTGACTTAAAGCCGTTGGGAATATATTAGTATTTATCTCTTCCATCTCTTAAAAATTAGAAATTAGGAAGAAATTACTTTATTCATCTTACAATATTATTCATATCATTATTTTATTGAATTGTAAAATAATATAAAAATAATTTTATTAAAAAACACATAAGAAATTCATATTTTATAAGTCGAATTATACATTTAAATATGTAGTTTAGATATTAAAATTATTAAATTATTGTTAATGAAATAATATGAGAAATAGTTTCATTAAATATATATTTAAAAATTTTTAATATTCAAATTATATTTTTAATATACAGTCTAATCTATAAAAAATAAAATAAAATAAAAACAAAAGTAAGGTCATTTTAACTTTAAATTTCAAAAAGAAAAAGGGCTAAAAGAACAGATTGGAGATCGGCTGTTGTAGGAGAGTCGGTTTCTTATAAAAAAAACCCATTACAATGAAAGTCTTAATCAAGAACTCTCCAATGAAAGGGAATATACCTATTGAAGCTGCTCTAATAGCCTCATTGATGCAGTTCAAATGAAATCTAACACTAAACCTTGTATTCAAATTAATATTATATACATTCAAACTGGAGAGCCGGTTTTGTGAATTAAATCAAACGAATCAAATATTACTGCTGAATCATCTTTTTCATCAAATTTTGATAGAGGTGCTTCTGCAGTTCTGCTTCTTTGTCACTGCTGCAATTCTGTCACTAAAATTCCACTCAGTCCCAAGTTTCCGATTAATGTAAAAATGATTTGAAACATGGTCCCTTGAGGAATGTAGAATGTGACCCACAAGTTCATTGTGAATTGAAATCACCAGTATGTCGGTCCTAGTAATATGCTGCCCTTGGCACGGTGAATAGTAAAGAGGACACGGTCCATTGCTCATCTGTTAAGCCTGCATTCATTATGTTCAAAAGAAATGAGATCGGCTATTCGGCCGCCAGCTGTGGCTGTGTAGAATGCAAGACTGGTTGCATCTGCCAACTCCATATAAAGCATAAGACCCCAAACATATTGTAGGGTACCAAAATTACTTAAACCTAAATAGACTCAAAAGGCATAGAAATGGTTGTAATCATACGTTATACAAGAAAAGAAAAATTCAATCACATTTATTTATAATCAGAAAAAGTAAAAATCAAAATAATGTCACATTACAAATATTAAGACATTTAATTCTAACCACATGATATAAGAGTTAAGATATAATATAAGATTTAAGTAAAATTTATTGTCTCACTTGTCTTATAATTATAACTAAATATTCTAATACTTTTTAACTAAATATTCTAATATTTTTAATGTCGCCGCATCCTCATTTACAATATAGAAACATAATATTTAAAGCATCCCGTGATAGTGAAAATAAATTGTGTTGGCTAAAAGAGATACTCCATTACGTAAAGAACACAACAGGCCATTACAAGAAACTAGTTACTGTAATCTCATAAAGGGCTCACGAGTTAGAGGGCAATCGAGTCAATAATTCCAGTGGGCGATAGATTTTCCTAAGAAAAAAACAAAATTGAGTATTTTGATTAGAACCAAAAAGAAAATACAAGGCATTATATATAAGAGAAATTGAATCGAGTATGTGAATGTCTATCTCCAATCAGAATACAAATTAAAGATTAGGCCTAAGGAATCACCCGGAATTCCCTAATGTACCAGAGAAGCATTATGCCGGTGACTCCTGCTTCAACACACAACCCAATAAACCATCATTGAAGCATACTCCACATCATCAGAGAGGGGATGGAAACAAAATATTATCTGATTAGTACAAGTTTCTTTATTTCTCTTATTGGGGAGAGAATAATGTAATCACATCTGCCAGTCGGTCTGGTTCTCATCTTCCAAACCTGCATTTGATGTGTTCAAAAAACGGTTTATGTACTCTGCAGTGTAGAATAGAAAATTGGTTTTGACTTCTACATAAAGGATAATACATCAAACATATGAAGGGTAGCAAATCATGGACATGGTTTTACTCAACCCTGACTAATGCCAAAGGCATAGAAATAGCACCTATGTTCTCCCACAAGACCAAAAGTTGCAACCATATAGACAAAATCAATCATGAAATGAGCTGCACATCATATTGCAAACTGACCTTAAAGGCTGAAAGCTGAGATTACTGCATCATCTGCAATAGTAACTGTCAATGTTTGACTGCCCAGCAATAAAAGCAAGCTGGATTCAAATAACAAAATAACTTCAGAAGGTTTCCATTATTAATTAGTTGACAAAGAGCAAGCAGCATTAACAGAAATGAACCACAAACAAGTTGGAAGAAATGCAAAATGAAACAAGGAAAAGAAATCTTTTATATGTTTAAACTGTATTCTAGAAAGCATGTATGGCCAATAGCCATCTAGAACCTTAGATCATTAGAACTCCTATACAAAACATTTGTGAACTAATAGGAATCACCTGGAGTTACATCAATAGAGGAGGCATTTATGCCAGTGATTGCTGCATCAGTACTCGTTCACATGCCATAACTAATATGAATTTTAAATTTTTATTAAATTTTCATCAATTGGGACCATTTTCTTTTGTTGCAGTATGTCATCGCTCACAGCTACTATTAGTAGTAATAATGAAGTAAAGCTATATTTTTATGGTAATCTGTTGTCTTATTTCGTACAAAGATTTGAGACTGGAGATACTTTAGAACTCTTTAATCACATTCAGAGTTATAAATCTCATCAAATTCTCTTTCTAAATTTGCTTTTTGTTTTTGAAGTTGAAAATAGTAATGAATACTATTAGGCTTATAAAGTATTTGGAAAACCACTTTTGTCTTTTGTAGATAGATAAAGAAGGCATTTAGTTTACTTGCAAAGTTATTATAATAAAACTTGTTGAAAAACCTGATGATGGAAAACCAATACCTATTAGGAGAAAATCAATATCTCCTTAGAGAAAAAATGAACTTTTGTACATTTTCGATTTTCATATTTTTTTTTTTATAAAAGTACTAAATAAGTCCTCAAGTAGTGTATGGATGACTATGAGTTCACTTATGACTTACAAAGTATTTATGCCTCCAAAAATGAACACACAAGAGAGTGGTCTTTTCATTTTGACAATTTACAAAAAAGTACTTTATAATTTATTATAATATTGACTTTAATTCAATTATTACCAAGTAACTTAACATTTATTAATATGTTAATATTATTTCTTCTTCTAGTTAAAGATGATGAACAAAAAAAATATTCACATAGTGTGAAAAGTTTATCAGCTTTTTGAAGACAATCAATCAAAAGGCCAAAATTAAGCAATTTACAACATTAGACTTTGAATTTGAATACTTTTATAAATGCATTCGGCTTGTTGGTTTTGGTAAGTGTAAGTATTGTTAATTCAAGTGAATCAAATTTTAATTGTTCTTCATTTTTTACAATGAAAATATTGGGAAGTGAGTTATGGTGTGATAAAAATACTCAAATTCAAAGTCTAATGTTGTAAATCACTTAATCTTGGCTTTTGATTGATTGTCTTCAAAAAACTAATAAGCTTTTCACACCTATGTGAATATTTCTTTTGTTCATCATCTTTAACTAGAAGACGAAATAATACCAACATATTAATAAAGACTAACTTACTTGATACTAATTGAATTAAAGTCAATAGTTGAATAAATTATAAAGTACCTTTTTGTAAATTGTCAAAATGAAAAGACGTTCATTTTGGAGACATAAATACTTTCCAAGTTATAAGTGACCTCATAGTCATTCATACACTACTTGAGAGGTTCTAATACCTTTATAAAAAAACCTATAAAATTCTGAAATGTACAAAAGTTTTTTTTTTATTTTTCTCAAGAGACATTGATTTTCTCCTAATAGGTATTGGTTTTCCATCATAGGTTTTTCAACAAGTTTTACTGTAATAACTTTGCAAGTATGCAACTAAACACCTTCTCTATCCACAAAAAACAAAAAGGGTTTTCCAAATACTTTATAAGTCAAATAGTATTCACTATTATCTTCAACTTAAAAAACATAAAGCAAATTTTAAAAAGAGAACTTGACAAGATTTATAACTGTAAATGTGATTAAAGAGTTTTAAAGCATCTCCAAGAGTCTCAAATCTTTGTATGAAATAAAACAACAGATTATCATCAAAATATAACTTTACTTCATTATTACTACTAATAATAGCTATGAGCGATGAACATACTACAACAAAAAAACAGTCCTAATTGATTAAAACTTAATAAAAATTTAAAATTTATAATTACAATAATTGAAAACAAACCTGCAGAAATAAAAGCCAAAGATAATCAGTCTGCAGAAATGAAAGCCAATAATCTAAGCAAGGAGGACAAAGAAGAAAATTGCCAAAGATCTAGGGGTCTAAGGGGTAGGAGTTCGTCATTTGGAGGAAACTAAAAGTCTTTCCCATTTTTCTTTCCTTTTTTCCTTTAAATTTGTGTTAGTTTTGGATTAATCCAGATCCTTGATTAATATTGATCCAATCGATCCAACAGTTCAAGTAAATTAGGCATGCATTGCCACTCAACTCTCAATTCTACTGTTGGATTAAGTCAAACAGTAGCACACAGCACGGATCAGTATATCCACTGTTAGATTTGTTATGAGCCAAAAGGTTGTAATTTAAACTAAGAATTTTTCTATGGAATTTTTTAAATGCACAAGATAAGTTTACATTTTCAACATCTTCATATTAAATTTGTTAGGACATTCAATCATAAATTATTAAATGCGTAGAGTATAATGTATATCTCAATTTTATTAAATTTATCATTTTTTTAATGTCAAGATGTTTTAATTTTTTTCTTTTTTTTTTTAATTAATTTTCATTAAAAAAATGACTTAAATTTTATCAATTGTACAATTAGCTAACGACTTAACTTACATTAAAGTGGAAGTGAGAGATTTCGAGTATGAGACACATGGACGTGAGATAGATTAAGGGATCAAAGAGAATTACCTTCTCTTACCCAATTCAAAAATTCAAAAAATTTGAAAATAAAAAAAGAATATACAATTAAATTATTTTATATGATTTAATTGTTAAAAATAAGATTCATTTTTATAATTTTTCATAAAAATAAATAACAAGTGTAATAAATT